AAGATACAAATAATCAATGTCTTCGTCTAGATTTTGTAACTCAATTGAACGCAATTGTGATAATCTTGTGATCAATAATTTCAATTCATTTGTTTCAATGCGATAACCTCTGTATCGTAAGTATTGAAGTCGCGGACAGTTAGCGGCAATATTACCGGTAAACTGATCGGTTGTCGACATCTTCTTTGAATAGATTGTCAAATGTGTTAATTGTTTGAAACCATTCAACGTATTATTATTATTATTATTAGATCCAATAAAATCAATCATATCATATGATTCAGATAAATACAATCTCTTTAATTGTTTAAAGTTATGGCAAATAGTTTTCATTATATCGCAGCCATTATCATCACTTTTATTAACTGAATCAATAGCAAGTGATAAACGTTTCAATCGGCGACACTGGAGACCGATTGGTCTCAACAGTTGTCCCATTTGTGGCAACAGTTGTCTAATTTGTGGCAACAAATAACTGAAGTCGTCGAATAAACTAATTCTTAGTTCAGTTAATTGTGATAATTGTGATAAACAAGTCAATGATTTAAGATCTAATTGGTTGTCATTAATATTATTAAATTGTATCCATATTGTCAATGATTTCAATTGTCTGGCATAGAGTGAAACAATTTGTTCAAATATATCAACAAATTTTTGGCTAAAAATGTCGATCGCAAGTGTGGTTAGTCTTCGGAAAACTGGTTCAACAGTGGAAAAGTGCCGATAGATATGATACATATTATGGGTTAGTCTGTTGTTAAACACTGATAGGTTCACACAGTCTTTGAGATGTCTGACCAATGCATCGTCCAGTGGTTGACATTTTCTATGGTTCTTCACATCAATTGTCAGCAATTGTTTGGCAAATATAACGAAAAAGTTGTCAATAATTGGTCCCAATTGCTGGTTGTCGTCATTGACTTCAGTATATCCATTAGTTTTAATACAAATGTGTCGCAAATGTTGACAGTATTGGCTAAAGTATGACAACAGATATAATTTGTATGTAATTTCAATGCGTGTAATGTTTGGACACTTCTTCAACAGTGTGACCAACGAATCGTCAGTTATTAGCCGAAAATTATTGTTAAATATAATCTCATCGACAGTCTGTAGTATCAATCGTTGCCATTGTTTGGACACCGATTCAAATATTAGTTTGTCTTTGAATGTCAGATAAGACAACAATAGTTTTGATAAATCATCGCCGAAACGATCAAACGATTGTCGTCTTAAGTATTCAATTCGTAAATATCTTCGCAATCGGCTCTTAAATATCATCATCGGTGGCCAACCCAACGGCTTATTTGATGTAATATCTGATTAAAAAAGTTTTTTTTTAATAAATATCTTAAATTATTTTTAAAAAATTAGCCATCGATGACATCAATATATATTTACAATGAATTGTTAAATATCTTCGTAAACGGCTCTTCACTGTCATCATCATCTGTGGACAACTTATCGATTTATTTGATGACATATTTTTGAAGACAATAACAAATAATTATTACTGAAATCAAAACAATAATAACTGTTTGTTTGTATCAATCAATGCATTCAATTGAATAGTAAATCAAAACTAACTGTTTGTTTGTTTGTATGAATCAATGGATTCATTCAATTGACTAAACAATATGTCATATATTTTGCGCACACATTGACTGACACTTAATAATGTAATAAATGATTCAATAGTTGTATAGTATTTTCAATGCATTAATAAGTGTTTAGTTACGCAATACTAGTCTACTATTCATTGAATTATTATTACAATTAATATTAATATACTGTTAATTAAAATAAATTAATATAACATGTATTATAATACTGTATATTATAAATATATTAACCAACAAAAAAAACACAATTATATTTAATTGTAATACAAAATCATTTCAATTGAAATTATAACAATACTGTATAATAACTATTAAAATGATTTAATTTTCACGAATTCCTGAAAGGAATCCGTATATGCATTCTATAAGTCGGTCTGTCTGTCCCACGAGGACATAGGTTCGAATCCAGGCTCAGCTACGATTTTTTTTGTGTTTTTTTTTATTTTTATTTATCACGAATTCCTGAAAGGAATCCGTATATGCATTCTATAAGTCGGTCTGTCGGTCTGTCTGTCCCACGAGGACATAGGTTCGAATCCAGGCTCAGCTACGATTTTTTTTTGTTTTTTTTTATTTTTATTTATTTTTTTTATTTTTAAAGTTTATTTTTAAGCAAAAAAACAAAATGGAGTCCAATAATTAATAAAAAAATTTTTTTTTGTTTTTTTTAAATTTTTTTAAAAGTTTATTTTTTAGGAAATTGAAGAAAATGGTGTCCAAAAATTAATTAAAAAAATTTTGAATTTTTTTTTGAATTTTTTTGAATATTGATTTTTTATTTTTTTCGTTTTTAAGTTTTATTTTTTAGGAAATTGAAGTAAATGGTGTCCAAAAATTAATTACAAAAATTTTGAATTTTTTTTGAATTTTTTTTTTGAATTTTTTGAATATTGATTTTTTATTTTTTTCGTTTTTAAGTTTATTTTTTAGGAAAATAGTAGTTTATTTTGTAATACTGAATCATTTGATACCCCACATGACTATAGTTGTTTATTTTGTCATACTAAATCGTTTGATACCCTACATAACTATAGTTGATTTTATTTTATCATACTGAATTTAATTTTTAATTATGATTAGGAATTCGTGTGGAAATGCTTTCTAGCATTCTCAACTGGTTTTTATTTAAATAATTATAAGAATTATAATTAATATATTCTTCTAAAAAAAATATCGAAAAGTTTAAAAACAAAAAATATCTATTCAATCAATTTTATAGTAATATTTATGATCACACACAAAAAGTTGTTGAAAAGCTATAGAAAATTTTTACTAAATTTTTAGAAATTTTTTTCTTTAGTAGTTTTAATAAAATTTAGTAAAATCTATAGAAAATCTATAGAAATATTTTACTGACATTTTTTGAAAATGTTTTGATTATGAATAACGATATAAAAAGTATATTTTTTAGTGCGTTATTAATGTTATGGTTAGCAACTGGTTGAAATTATGATAAATTACATTATATTATAATACTGAGTATTAAATGATTGTCATAGGATATAAAGACTATAGTATATATTAGTTAATACAACACATCTAAACCACTTAAAAATATCTTAACGATTATCTGGAAGTGTTATCAAAAAATGGTAATTATTAATTAGATTAACAAAATTATTTTAAATTATACTTTAAATATAATACTAAAAATTAATTTATACATATTTTTAAAGCACAATTTCCGATTAGTTATGTCAATAACATTGAACAATAACACTGAAGGTAAATTATTTAAACTTTATTTTAAAAAATATATTTTTTCTAATAAAATACTTAATTTTATTTTTTACTAAAGCATTATTTAGTTCTACAGTATTTTAATCAATTGGGGACAAACTTAACGAAACTATTTTCATAAATCTGATGACAACTTTCAACATTTGATTAAAGAAAACATTTTTTATACTGTTATTCAAAATTTAATCCTATGTTAATTATTTAGACATTGTTTAAATGATTAATAATTAATTAACTATTATAACACACATTACATAAAATAATAATTATTGAATATTAATGTAAAGTATATTTTACATATATACTTAATTATACAAAAATAACAAATATACTGTAATATGCCTTAATATTTATATATATATATATATATAGTTAATTATATTTTAATAATAATAGAAAAATATACTTTTCAAATAATGTATAATTATAATTATAACGTTACAATAATATACTTTAATGATGAAATAATTTAATAAATATTATTAAAAAAATTCTATACATTTTAACTAAATTTATTAAAAATATGGTAATTATTGAAGAAAATATTTAACAAAAATTATTAAAATTAAACACAGTTTTAGTAAAAAAAATTCTTAATTTTTAGTAAAATATTTTCTTTAAAATTTAATAAAAATTTGTAAAATAGTTGAAGAAAAATTTTTCTATAATTTTTCTTCAACTTTTATAGAAAAAATTTTACGAAACTAGGATTTTTAGGAAAATTTTCCGCAAAATCTCTCTGTGTGATATGATCTTCGCAATCGGCTCTTCACTGTCATCGGTGTCCAATCCGTCGCTTCATTTGACGCCATATCTGATAAAATAAAATAATTGTTTGTTTGTTTGAAAAAATCTTCATTGAAATCAATGATTGAATCATTGTTTCAATTGATATATCATACCTGTGATGATCACAATATATTTACAACAATCACATCAATTGATAGTCAAATAAAACAAAACAAAACACAAAAATAATAACAAATACTAAACAAAAATCAATTCAATTGTTTGAATCAAAAGTTTAAAACTAACTGTTTGTTTGTTTGTATGAATCAATGGATTCATTCAATTGACTAAACAATATGTCATATATTTTGCAAACACATTGACTGACAGTTAATAATCTAATAATACTATTATAACTTAATAAATGATTCAATAGTTGTATAGTATTTTCAGTGCTTTATTAATAACTATTGTTTTTTTTTAAAAATAATATTATTATTAAATATATTAACAATTTATTAAGTTATATCATAGTATTTAGCAAAAACAAAAAAAAATTTCAATGCATTAATAAGTGTTTAGTTACCCAACAATAGTCTACTATTCATTGTAATTATTAATTGAATAACTTTTATAGTTTAAGTATTTTATATTTACATAATTTTCAAGTTTATTATACCTGTAAATCTAAAATTGTAAAAATAAAAAAAAATATTAAAACTACTATAAATTATGCAAATTTTGATTTATTTTATTGATGTATTTATTAAAATAATAATATAATAAATGTACTAGACATGTTTTTACATTAATTAATAAAAACAATTAGAAATAATTTTATTTCAATACATGTATGATTATTAAAACATAATTAAAAGTAAGTTATTATTATTATTATTTACAACAAAATTACAGATAAAGACAAAAAATATTACCACTTTTGCGAAACATTTTAATTGATTTAAGATATGAATAATCAATGTCTTCGTCTAGATTTTGTAACTCAATTGTACGCAATTGTGTCAATCGTTTGATCAATAATTTCAATTCATTTGTTTCAATGCGATAACCGCTGTATCGTATGTATTGAAGTCGCGGACAGTTAGCGGCAATATTACCGATAAACTGATCGGTTGTCGACATCTTTTTCGATAAGATTGTCAAATGTGTTAATTGTTTGAAACCATTTATCGTATTATTATTATAATTATTATTAGATCCAATAAAGTCAATGTTATTAAGTGAACCACCATACAAATACAGTCTCTTTAATTGTTTAAAGTTATGGCAAATAGTTTTCATTATATCGCAGCCATTATAAACACTCCTATTAACTGATCCTATAGTTAGTGATAATCGCTTCAATCGGCGACACTGGAGACCGATTGATCGCAACAGTTGTCCCATTTGTGGCAACAAATAACCGAAGTCGTCGTACAAACTAATTGTTAAATCAGTTAATTGTGTTAATTGTGACAAACAAGTCAATGATTTAAGATATAATTGGTTGTCATTAAATAGTATCAATATTGTCAATGATGTCAATTGTCTGGCATATAGTGAAACAATTTGTTCAAATATATTAAGAAATTTTTGGTTAAAAATGTCGATCGCAAATGTGGTTAGTCTTCGGAAAACTGGTTCAACAGTGAAAAAGTGCCGATAGATATGATACCTATAATGGGTTAATCTGTTGTTAAACACTGATAGGTTCACACAGTCTTTAAGATGTCTGTACAATGCATTGCCGAGTGGTTGACATCTTCTATATTTCTTCACATCAATTGTCAGCAATTGTTTGGCAAATATAACGAAAAAGTTGTCAATAATTGGTGCCAATTGTTGGTTGTCGTCGTCATTGACTTCAATATATCCATTAGTATTACCGGTAATACAAATGTGTCGCAAATGTTGACAGTATTGACTAAAGTATGACAACAGATATAATTTGTCTGCAATTTCAATGCGTGTAATGTTTGGACACTTCTTCAACAGTGTGACCAACGAATCGCCAGTTATTAGCCGAAAATTATTGTTAAATATAATCTCATCGACAGTCTGTAGTATCAATCGATGCCATTGTTTGGACACCGATTCAAATCTCAACTTATCATCAATAGATAGATAAGATAACAATAGCTGTGATAAATCATCGCCGAAACGATCAAACGATTGTCTTCTCTGAGAATGGATTGTTAAATATCTTCGCAATCGGCTCTTAAATCTCATCATCGGTGGCCAACCCAACGGCTTATTTGATGTAATATCTGATTAGAAAAAAATTATTTTTAATAAATAATGTTTTAAGTTATTTTATTTTTTTTTAATTAGCCATCGATGGCATCAAATATATTTACAATGAATTGTTAAATATCTTCGTAAACGGCTCTTCACTGTCATCATCGGTGGACAACTTATTGCTTTATTTGATGACATATTTTTGAAGACAATAACAAATAATTATTACTGAAATCAAAACAATAATAAATGTTTTGTTTGTTTTTGTTGTGAAAACTAATGAAAACACTAATCAATTCAATACAGTATTCATTGCATTCAATGTTTGACATAAACTATGTTTTTAATACATTATTGACTCTCATTTATAATCATTTAATATCTTATAAACAAATCTATTAACAAAAAAAAACATTTATAATTAACTTTAATTAAAATACAAATCTAATTATATAATTAAATAACCCTGATTAAAAGATAATACAATTACTGTAACATATAATTAATAGAAAATATATATATATATATGAATTTAAAAGTTTAATATAATATCTATTTTTAATAGATTTTTAATATTTATGATAAATGATTATTAAATAATAAATATAAATATATATATAGTATTTATGACATATATTGTGAATACAGAGATAATAGTTTTGGTAAAAGTTTTTAATTCCGACAAAATCTGAATAATCAATGTCTTTGTCGACATTATATAAGTTAATTGAACGCAAATTTGGTAATCGTTTCAATGATTTCAATGACTGTGAATCAATGCGATGATCGCAGTATCGCAAGTATTGTAGTCGCGGACAGTTAGCGGCGATATCGTTGATAAACTGATCGGTTGTCGACATCTCTTTTGATAAGATTGTTAAATGTGTTAACTGTTTGAAACCATTCATCGTATTATTATTATTATTATAATAATTAGATCCAATATAATCAATCATATTATATGAATCACATAAATACAATCTTTTTAATTGTTTAAAGTTTTGACAAATAATTTTCATTAAATTACTAACATTTTCTGCCTTAAAGCGAGGAATTTCAACATCAACTGTCAATTGTTTCAATCGGTAACATTTGCGACCAATTGATGGCAACAATTGTATCATTTCAGGCAAATAATTAGTGTCATCGACAACTTTTAGAGTTAAATCAGTTAATTGTGTCAATTGTGACAATTGTGACAAACAATTCATAGATGGTATAGGATTTAAACGATCATAATCAAGGATATCCACATTCATATACAGTGATGTCAATTGTCGGCCATATAGTGATACAATTTGTTCAAATATATCAGCCATTTGTTGCTCCCAAATGACAATATAAAGTGTGGTTAATCTCAAGAATAGTGGTTCAGTAGTAAATTGTCGATAAATGTCAATCAAATTTCTTAGTCTACAGTTAAACACTGATAGGTTCGTAAAGTTTTTCACATCTCTGGCCAATACATCCTCGAGTTGTTGACATCCACTAAATTTAATGTAAATTGTTTGCAATTGTTTGCCAAACTTAACGAAAAAAATTTGAAATAATTGGTGCCATTTGTTTGTTGCGATCATATTCTTTATTATATCCTTCAGTTTTAATATAAATGTGTTGCAAATGTCGACAATATTGGGTAATGTCTGCCAATAGATGTAATTTGTCTTCAATTTTAATGCGACTAATATTTGGATACTTTTGCAAAAGTTTGATAAACGACAAGTCGGTTAGTAAACGAAACTTATGGACAAATGTTTGTGGTATCAATCGTTGCCATTGTTTGGACACCGATTCAAGTATTAGTTTGTCTTTGAATGTCAGATAAGACAACAATAGTTGTGACAAATCATCGCCAAAACGATCAAACGATTGTCTTCTCTGTGAATCGATTGTTAAATATCTTCGCAATCGGCTCTTCACTGTCATCATCGGTGGACAACTCATCGTCTCATTTGATGCCAAATAATAGTTTTGAAAAAAAACAATTATCACTGAAATCAATGAAAAGATAAATAATTATTATTTAGTAATGAATTCGGAAATCAAAACAATTAATAAATATTTTGTTTGTTTTTATCTTTTTTGTTGTGAAAACTTCTAAAACACTAATCAATTCAATTGAATACAAGTATTCATTGCATTCAATACTTAACACAAACAATGTTTTTATAATACTATTTGACTATCAGTTATCACTTGTAATAATAATAAATACAATACATAATCGAAAATATTAATAATTAGTTAGAAATAAATTATTTCAATTAATTCAAAATTTATTTTTATTTAAAAATGTAATCATATAATAAACATCAAAAATAATACTGTATTAGAAAATACAGATAAATGTATTAAATTATTTAAAATTACTTAAAAATAATTACAGAGATTTTTTTTAAAAAAAAACTTCAATAATCTCAATAGTGGGGCTAATTTGATAATTCATTAAATCAAACGTTTAGTAAGGGGTCTGTAGTAACTCACTAATTGCCACATAGTTTCACATATAGCCCCCACCCCCCTGATGGCCAGAGAGGGGGGAGCTATAGGCGCTTACGGGCGGTAATTAAAATAAATTTTTATAACATAAATCAAAATACATATATTATTATTAATAATAAAAATATCAATAATAAAAACATTAATAATAAATAGCCTATATTACGGAAATAGTAAAAACATTAATAATTAAAATAACATAAATATTAATAAAATAATAATAATATTACCGGTAATAACACAAAAATAATAACAACTTACAGGTAATAATTAAAATAATAATTATAATAATACCTGTAATAAAATAATTATATTAATAACTTATAAGAAAATAAAACAAATGGTTAAATAAGAGACAATCAAAATCCGGTATCAATTGGTTTCTCCTCTAATTCTTCGCGAAAGTTGTATATCTCTGGGCATTATTGTCACTCTTTTGGCGTGAATTGCGCACAGATTTGCGTCTTCGAACAGTCCGACCAGATATACTTCGGCTGTCTCTTGAAGTGCCGAAAGGGCGGCCGTTTGAAACAATAGATTGTCACTGATTTGGGCAGCGATTTCGCGAACCAATCGCTGAAACGGTAGTCTCGGTATCAGCAGTTCGCACGTCTTCTGGTATCTTCTGATATCTCTCAGTGCAATAGTTCCCGGTCTGTGTCGTCTGTACGGCGGCCGTCGCTTGACTTGTTGTCCACTATCGCCAGTACTTATGTGACCATTTGATGATCGCTTTGTTTGCAATATACGATTCAATCGATCGGACGCTTCGATTGCAAACTGCGACGATCGTTGAGTACTGGCCGACAAATCATCGGTCGACTCGTTGTCCACTACTTGTTGATTCGGTGTTTGAGCGGACATCACATGTTGTTGACCAACATCACCACCGCCACCACCACTAGTCGATGGCCAATACACTAGTTGTTGGTCGCGCGCCACTCCCGACGTACTCTTTCTGGCCATTTGTGGTTTCGGCTTAATTAATCGGTAATCGGTTTTCGCTGCGACTTGTTTTTGGCGAACCATTGTTTGTTGGGTTTTGTTTTCAGTAATGATTATCAAATTGTGGGATCAATTTGAGTGATAATTAACACAAAATACAACAACAAATCAATTGAAAACAAATTTTTGAAAACAAATACCAAAAAAATAATAAATAAAAAGTTATGAATCAATCAATTGTTTGAATCAATTGTTCGAATAAATGCTTCGAAAGCTTTAGTTATATAACACTATTCTATAGATTAGATTCAAGAGTTGAAACTTTTTTATTGTAAAAAAAACTTAATGTTAGGGACCGTCTAGTAATTTAGGATTTAAAAAATTAATAAAATAATAGTAAGTTTTTAAAAAAAAAAATAATTAAATTAATTTTTCTATATATAAAGTCTATGTATATATAAGTTGTCGATTATTTGTTAGAAAATAGAAATATATTAAATACATAGAAAATAAATTTAAAAATATTTAATGTTATTTTTTTTGAGTTTTATTTTAGTAAAAAATTTGCAATAATATTATATAATGTTAGTATTTTTTCCCATTTTATTTATTATTAAGCAATAGAATCTATAAAACTATTTTTTTTATATATAAATCTATTCAATAGATTTATATAAAAAAAATAGTTTTATCAATAGTATTGCGCAATCTATTGTAGCAATTTGTGTACTAAATTTTTTTCGACCCCCAGTTAATACCTCCCTTTTATCAGCTATAAAACCTCCTCTAATTGGTTGAGTCAATACTGACAGTAGTTTCAATATCTAGTGAACTGTTCGATTATATACAATATAAAACTTATAGTTTCATATGGTGGGATTAACCAATAGTGGATATGGGAAAAGGGTAAGCACTGAGGGGAAGCATTAATACATATAAAGCTATCAATAGTGATTGCGCAATAACATTGAAATAAAAATTTTAGAGTTTCCAACAAAAATATAAAAAATAAGGAAAGTTGTATTTTGTTTATTATATAATTTTTAAATTTTTATTCATTACTAATTTCTTTAATTTTTAATTTTTATTAATTTAATATTAAATTTATATTTAATTAATAAGTTATTTATCAAAATTTGTTTTATTTTTCTAATTTGTATGTATTATTATTTAGTACTCCAAATAAAATATAATTTGGTCACTCTAATTTTTCATACTCTATGATCCCACCATATGAAACTATAAGTTTTACATTGATTATATACAAAACCAAAACAATAGCACCAAACGCACCACAAGCACATAGATTTATCATAGATTACACTTAATATATATACATACAAATAAAAAATAGTATGTATAATAACTATGGTAACAATTAGTCTATGCTTTGTCAAAAACTCCGCCCCTCTAAACATTAAACACCTAATATTAGATAATTATTTATTGTTTTGGTTTTGAATATAATCAAACAGTTTTTTCTTTAAACTAAATCTGTACTAATAATCACATTTTACACGTTATTTGTGTACAACAATACTGTATTATATTAACAGCAAAATGGCTGCAAAAGCAAGTCTTGTCTCCAAAGTCTCCAAACAGATCCCGATTCTCATCGACAGTAAGTCTATTATTATTATTACCCGTCAATACAGACATAGCTAACTACTTATTTATCTATTGCCGCACCCGACCCGACCCGAACCCGAACCCGTTGGCCACACAACAGAGTCTAAGCCCAAGTTGGCAACATTTGTCCGCTACGCCAAGGTCGAACTGATACCGCCGAACCCGACGGAAATACCGCAGATTGTGGCCGGTTTCAAGAATCTGGTTACCGGTGTCCGATCGGGTCGATGGCGACAGTTATCTGTTAGCCAGGCCTGGCTCAACACATTGATCACTGTTGAGGTTGTCTGTTGGTTCTTTGTCGGCGAAGTTATCGGTAAACGACATCTTATCGGTTACGATGTCTAACACACGGACAGACACAGACACACACACTATAGTAGTATCACTTTAATTGTTCCACTTATTAATATGATTAGTGGATGAGATATAATAATTGATTGTTTAATAACATTATATATAATGATTTGAATTGAAATTATTATTATTTAGTTTTATTATTATTATTATTATTATATAATATTGTATTTCAATGTTTGTTTGGTTTCATATATATATATGTAAATCAATTGTAGAAATTAATTAATTAAAATAATAAATAGGTTTTAAATTATAATTATTTTTAATTATTTAGTGATTTAAATAATATATGATATTTTGATGTCACGTTGTTTATGGATGACAGCATTGGATCACATGTTTATACTGTATATTACAGTATTGTATGTGAAAAATATAAACACATTTTCAAAACACTTGAAATGCAAAAACTTAAACAAACAAACAAAATGTGATTTCAATTATAATATTGTTTTTTTTTTAAATTAAATTTAATACCAATTGATATTAATCGGTAATTATCGGTAATTAATTTGTTTTTGGACATCATCTGCAAGTCATGCAGTCATTAATTATAAGTAGTAGTAGTAAACAGACAAACAATATTTGTTGTCATTGTTTGTCGCGACTACTGATGATTAAGAATAGATGGACACAAACAACAACCACTAGACAACAGTTGAGGTCATTGTCCACTAAATGGCCAGAAGCTACCGATACGGTCATAAAACAACAGCCGAAGAAAGGAGGCGGTGGAGGAGGAAAACAGCCTAATCTAAAGCCCAAACAATTTCCCCGATTGTTGAAAGATTTGGACAGATTTGATAAGAAGCTGTCGGCTGCGGCTGCGAAAAATTTGCGATCAATCGGTACCGGTCTAACAGATTTGGACATTGTTACCGCTACCGAAATGGGTACCGACGAGGCCAGCTTTGATTTGCTCGAGAGTTCTGCCGGCGTATCCGACTATAGTCTGGATCAATGGTTGGACACCGATCTGAATGTTTTGGCTCCCGAAGTCGAGGAACAACAGCTGTTTGTCGATGACATTGATGTCGATGGCGGCGCCGCCAAAAGTGATACAAAAAGTGACAAGAAATCATCGAAAACGAAAAAACAGTCAAAGAATTCTATAAAACAGGAAGAGATTCGCCGACAGCTAAAGGATATGGATTTGATGTCCAAGTCGTCGAGTCTGAGATATGCACTGAAAAGTTATCTCTATTCATGTATTTATGCAGATATGGTACCGAAAGCTCATTCAGTACTACTATACTATCGTAGCAAACAATTGCGTACCAAACGGCTCAAAGAGATGGACAAAGAAACCCTACCGATCAATGTTTCCGTTTATAATATTGTACTGAAAGGTTGGGCACTGAAAGGAAAGACTGGAAAAATCAAAGAGTTGTTTGCATTTATGAAGTCATCAAATGTCGAACCGAACACCGAATCGTTTGCCTATTATTTATTGTCATTGTCTCGACAGACGACAACAACGACAACTGTTACCAAAGATGACATAATGGAAGTGATAAACCAATTGAATAACTATAGCTTAAGCTTAGGATCACTGTTCGAGAGGTGTTGTCTTAGTGTCGATGAAAAGAAAGCTATTCACCGATTGTTGAGTACTATAATTACGAATCCAAAGCTAAATAGTCTAAGTTTTGCCGATCGATATTCGTGTAAATTAGCCGAAGAAGTGGATAAAATTGAGCAAAAATTTTATAATCCGTGCGAAGGCGTCGACTTGAGTTCACTGGAGTCATCAGTCGAGCAACAGTTTGCACTGGAAATTCAGGGCAATGTTATTATCAAATCGATTGCCGCAGAGGACACGGATGTCAGTGAAAATACCAGAAATTTTTTGAAAAATCAATGGATGAAAACGGAAAACGAATGGCGCGAATCATTGAAACAATCATTTGTTACACAAATCAAAGGATTTCAGTATCAATCAAACGAAATCAATGGTATGACTTTGTATCCGTATTTAGTTGTTTTGGACACAAACTATTATATCGATGCCATCATCGAAGAGATTAAACTCTGTGCCAATATGAGCGAATACTATAGTCCGCCGTTGGCCACACTGTTTGCCAATGTCGGCAAACGGGTAATGTTGCGCTATTTAGTTAAGGCACACATCCGAGATGGTACGGCTCAAGACTTTCAACAATTATACAGCGACTATATCCGATACTTTCAGAATCCTCAGATGACCACTGCGGACAATCCGCGTCAGTATTGGCAACAATTGATGCTTAAGAACGAACACTTTTACAATGAAAACTCTCGGGACAAACAGTGGCCATATCATGTACAGGTCGGTGTCGGCAAATTTCTCTACGATTTGATTATCAAAGAAGTCAAAATCGATGTCAACGTAATGAAACCGAACTGTAAGTCACAGAGAAAAGTGGCCGCTTTCGGTATTACCTACAAACCGATTGGTAATCTAAGATATCAGCGCGAATTTCGTGCCCATCCAGTGGTCATCAAATTGCACCGAAAAGCCTGTTTAGATAAACTTGTATTCGATATCAATATGTTGCCAATGCTATGTCCGCCGACACCGTGGATTTCACCGAAATTTGGCGGCTATTTGCTCAATAAAACCGATTTTGTCCGAATGCCCGAAACACATCAAAAGTGGATGTATAACCGATACGATAGGCAAAAATTGTATCCAACTTTCGATGCACTCAACTATCTATCGATGTGTCCCTGGATTCTCAATAATTCTGTAAATAATAGCAAAATTTTATATTATTTTTTGTGTTTTATAAATATTTTATATAATTAAATGAAATAATGTTTTTGTTTAACCTATAATTTATAGGTTTTAGACGTCGCTATTCACTATTTCCGTAATAAAGGCAATAAGACTCTGGAAATTCCTAAACCACTTTCAGAGTTTCCTATTTTACCGAAAATTGATGTGTATGTGACCCCATCCCACCCCCAATAACTGTTGCCATAAATATTATTAATTAAATTTATACGGTAATTAATTGTTGATTATTGTTTTTTTTCGCCCCGAAACTATCAGATCGATGGACAAAAGTGATAAAATTCATGTCTATCGACAACGAAATCAAATGAAACGAGAAATGGCCGAAATGTATAGCTTGTGGTGTAATTGTCTCTATAAGCTCTCGATTGCTAATCATGTAATAACAAACAAACAAATAATTTAATTATTATTTAAACAATTAATTATATATATATTTTTGATAATTTATTAGTTTCGTAA